AAAGAAAAAAAAAAGAACAGAGAGAGAGAGAGAGAGAGAGAGAGAGAGAGATTGAAGTCTTCCTCACTTGCTATTACTCATACACACCAGAGTCGACTGAGGGCGAAGTTTAGATTTCTCTTTTGAACTTTGTTGTTAGGGCTACCAAAAGTGGGAGTCCATGAAAAATCTTCATACTTTTTTTTCCAGAGTTCAACAATTGTGGGGTGGGAGATTGAACCATCCCATTTATCATAATAGGTGTCTTATCCACTGAGCTATTCTCGGATTGGACAATTCTTTTACACTTTATAGAGACCTATAATTTACACAACATCTTATAAAATGCCTCATTTAAAACAGGAACCCATCAGAACAAGTAGTTAAAAAGATTTTAGCTTGAAATGTCCCCAAGATTGAGCTTCCATAATCTGCAATCACTGCGCTCAATAAATGAAAAATCAAGACTCCCCACTAAAGAATTCCAATCAGTCAGCTCCCTACCAAGGAGGTTTTTCTAATTACCAACCCAGCATACATTCTCTTATTCCTAAGAATCCTTCACTAAGATGCTCAAGGGTCAAATGTAGGGAGGTTTCAACAAGAAGGGGGTCAGCAATCCAATCCAATGACTGTAAATATAGGATCTGTTTGCTAATGATTCTAATTTTAATTTATCCACTTTTTCAAAATCTTGTTTACTAAGAACTTCCTCCATCTCGTAAACTGTTTTCAAATACAAGCCAAATTATAAAAATTAGAAAAAAGTAATTGTCAAAGAAAAAAGAAAAAGAAAAAGAACTACGATTTTGAAAGTATTTTTAAAAAGTAAAAAAGAGATAAACAACAGAATTATTAGCAAACAAACTTAACTCTTATAAATAGAACACTAGAAACAAAATTGTTATCAGTATTTTCAATTGTGAAATTTAACAAACCACAACCCGGTTCTTCGAAGCTTAAAGACAGAACACCTTGAACAAAAACATCAGAGACAGATTCCAACAACAAAATCGCATAGGCATTAGTAAATCAGAATCATACCAATAGTGGGAGAAAGATCCTCAAAGGAATCAGACGTGAAGCGCAAAAGAAGCGTACTCTTCCCTACTCCAGAGTCCCCAATCAACAGCAACTTGAACAAGTAATCAAACTCCGGCTGACTCGAAGACGGAGCGGACGACATCGGAAATACAAGAAGCACCTTAAGCAACCACCATCAACGAGACCAGAGTTCAGTTTCAAGCAATTTGCGATCAACAAAACGAAGAACAAAAGTAAAAGCAAAGCAGAAACTGAATACTCACAGAGTAGAGAGGGAAAGGAAAGTTGGAAAATATTCGTTCAATTCAAAGGAAAAAGAAGGCATGAACTGAACTTTTTTGCTTCTTCCCACCGATTCTTTGTTCTTCCAATTTTTTTTTTGAAAAATGTGCCGACGATTTGATCCACTGTAAGAACGATTCCATTGTGGTACAGAGCAACTGCCTATCATCTGCCGTCCGATTTCCTGTCTGACGTCATTTGTCAACTTTTTTCTTACCCACCCATTTGGATGGATAATTTTAGGTTAAAWGGGTAAATTTTGTAATAATTTAATCCATGGATTTTTAAAAGTAACAATTTAATCTCGTTAAAATTTTGTAAGGATTTAAACTTTTTTGACGTGGAATGCCAACTAGGATTTATTTAAAGGTGATCATGTAATTTTAAGAAAAGAGAGAAAGAAGAATGGAAGAAAGAACATTGTTCGATTGTCATGCACGATTACTCTGCCCATCTCTCCTTCGGTTGGACCCTGATAATGTGAAAACTCGATCATCATCTAACAACTCTCGCTCATCCGACATGTTGTCCATTCCACCACCACCACCGACATTAAAATACTATTTTGTGTTCTTATAATTTCAACTTTAGTTCATTTTGGTCCCTATGATTTTAATTTTTGTTCATTTCGTTCTTGTGCTTTTAAAATATTCATTTTGGTTTACTATAGTTTTTAAAAAGGGATCATTTGATATTTTAATTTTATTTTTAATCTCATGTGTTTGATTGGGCCATCACAAAGGCTGCACCGATGTACATGAATCGATATAAAAAAGTTGGGTAAGTACAATAAAAAAGTTCCAACGAAATTAAATGCAAACTATATAGAAACGATTATTAGAATGAATATTATTAATGGCGATCATGTAACAAAAATTAGTTACCAAGTAGGAGGGAATATTCCTTTAAATTTAAACAATTTTAGAGGAGAAGGAAAATCGTTCAATTGTTTTTTATATTCATGAGTGTGTGACTAACTTGCATCTAGACTAATCTAAAGCGATGACCGCATAATCTTACTCATTTGAAATTACTAAAGAAACTTGATAAAATATAATAATGAACGAATGCCAACATGAACATAATTCAACAGAAATTGACATCTGCTCCTTCTCTTGAGGTCAGAGGTTCAGACTCCCAATTTATTACATTAAAAAAATTAATGAGTCTCGATATACTTTGATACCTTGGAATAAACCAAATATACTTCAATAAATACACGCTATTATTGCCAAACTGAGCATAGCTCAACATTCTCCAACCACAAGGTTGTGAGTTCGATCCTCCACTCTCACACATGTTAGTATAAAAAAAAAATATCACACTATTGCCACTAAACACACAATTAAATTTACCCCAAGGAAAGGAAACTTAACATATATGTTGAAGTTGGCTTTTCCCAACCTTTTTATATGCGGCGGGAAAATTGATTTTTCTCGACGTTGTTTTGTGCTTCGGAAATAAAAACATCGTGAATCGTCGTACTGTTGTTGCAGTAATAATCTCCCACAGTAATAATCTCCCAAATCTTCTTAAAATCTCCCTTTCTATATTTTCTTGCTCATGTTTCTAAATGGATCACCATTCATAAGAACGAAACCCAAAAAAAAAAAGAAAAAAACATTCCAATTTTGCTAAATTCTCTCCTAACCCATATTCTCTTAACCCGTTTTGCTGGTTCTTTTTGCAGCAATGGTTTCTAACAGCCCATCCTCAAAATAGAGTCCAATTCCCCAATATATATAACCCTCAAAATCTGTCTCATGTTCTCAGGCAAAAACCCAAAAGACAAAACCTCCCCCAAAGCC